TGATGATGACCAGCGGGTACTTGGTTGAAACGATGTGTCTATGATAACATCTATATCAACCAAAATGAGAACAATAGTTTGAAATAATACAAGTATAACGATTCCACATAATCATGAAATTACTGCATAGTCTTGATTTTTTTATTTAATGATTTCATTCATTCGTTTTCTACGTTTGAACAACCCTTTTCAGATTATTTAAAGCAAGGAAATATTTTTAGATTGTAAACATTTTTTTTGTTGTTTTTTTGAGATAATAATAGTTTAGTAATACAAGCTTTACTAATTAACCTTCCCCAAGTGTATTTGCGCGTAAGTGAATATAACGAACCCAACGGGAATTAGAACTCGACTCTCCGATTAACAATTCCGAGCCATTATCCATTACACCACCCGTACATCCAAGCTAACAACACCTGATATTCCCAAACAGTTACCTATCTAGGTAATGACCAGGTTCGACGTGTTTTAACGTGATGTGTTCGTAAGCCCTTGATTATTATTATTATTATTATTATTATTATTATTATTATTAACAATAATAATAATAATAATAATAATAATAATAATAATGAGGACGACGATGGGGTCCTAAAGCTTTTCGATCCGACCAAAAATATTTAAAAAAAAGATTTTGAGTAGTGGATCAAGACGTGTATTTTTCAGTATCTCTTTGTTATACGGATTATGCGGTTAAAATCAAACAAAGTAAAATCATGTATTATTTAATTTATTTTTGTAAGGGACAAGAATTTATAGATTTAATATTTTTTTCTATTATAATTTTATTACTAAGGAGGAAATGTCTAAAAGTTTTCAGATTGACCGGCTTTTTGTTTTAAATTCAGACTAGACTTTACTCAATACAGGGTTCGAGCGTCAATCAAGCTAGAGGGTTACTACGAAAATTATAATGATGAATAAAAGATATTTGATCTACATGAAAGATGATAGGAAGTGAAGACTGCAAGGATAAGGAGAATACATAATGACTGACTCTTGACTTGAAGTTAAGATTGTAGTATTCAGAGAATCACCCACGTGGGAATCTGTTCTACAAAATAGCAGTCCTTGGGAAAAAGCTGAGTGAAACATTCTTCTTACATTTGAAACACAGGGGAAACGAAGGTGTTTCAACTAATTGAATGTGGCATAGTGAGTTCTAACTGTAAAGGTCTGAACAAATGGAACTGAAGAATAAAGCGTATTTAATCATTTGTGATAAAATAGCGATAGATGTTTGCTATGTTGTGTCTGCAGTGTGAAGAATAAGTCTTCCCCTAAAAGAACGCGTAAACGATTTGGGGCCCTATAGACCAGATAGAGCATCAATATTTTTCCATTCTTGGTTTAATCTGACTCTAATAAAGATACAGCATGACAGAAGTAGTCAGGCAATTTGTTGAGTGCTAAAATATCCCTTCTTTATTACTTATCGAAGTAATAAAAATGTGAGTAGTTAAACCTACGAATATCCCTGTTGTGACAGAGATATTCGTAGGTTTAACTACTCACATTTTTGTTACTTCGATTTGCAGTTTCTTATAATTTCACAGTCTATGAAATCATCATCATCATCATCATCATTATTATTATTATTTTTATTTTCTTTGATTTCTGGCGTTTACACATTTCTTTCCGGGTCCCGCCCAGGGACCTAAGGTTAGAAATGGCGTCATGACACTTTCCACTGACAAAAAAATTACATAGATAAAGCCCTTCGTAAGGTGTGGGCTGTACTTGTCAGAACAATTTTCTGTATCTCCTTGAGGCATGGACTTCCAGGAATCCCTTCAATTAGTCTACTGGAATCTTTTCCAACCAGTCCTAGGGCTCCAACTACAACAGGGATTGTTGATGTTCCCATATGCCACATTTTCGAGATTTCTATTTCAAGGTCCTTGTACTTTGACAACTTTTTGAATATCTTCAAAGATACATTGCAGTCAGCAGGGACTGCCATATCAATAAGGAGGCACCGTTTTTGCTTGTGGTCTTTAATAACAATATGTGCCCGGTTGGCCTTGATTGTTCTGTCAGTGTGTATTGTGTAATCCCCTAGAATTGTAACAGGTCCTATCTCCGTAACCTGGTCTGGGTGGTGTTCATACCAGTTTCTTTCAGTTTTCTTCCCGTAGAAGTTGCAGATTTTCCAATGCAGATATTGGCCCACTCTGTCATGTCGGGTTTTATATTCAGTGGGTGCCAACACCGTACAACCTGATACAAGATGATCAATCCTTTCTGGATATTTATCACAGAATCTGCATTTTGGGCTGACACAATATTTTAGTATATGTGCTTGATAATTCCTAGTTAGCAAGCATTGGTCCTGCGCAGCAAGGATAAAACCTTCAGTTTCCGCTTTCAACCCTGCACTACGTAGCCACTGATGGGTATGGGTTTGACAAAGAGTATCGTATAAAATGACTCCATAATATGATGGAAGAAAACTTATAAGATAATAATAGTAATATTGATAAGCTCATTAACCCAGAGTGCTGATAAAAATCAAGAAAATATGATAGAATAAAAGTAGTAATAAATTAATAATACATAAGCCTATTTCATTTTGAAAATGTTGAGTAATATGGCGTCTCTCTCTTAACAAATTCCTACAATTTATTCACTTATATCACACAGCTACACGTATTGATGGCAATTATTATCGTTAAAACAACAGATAGGATAAAATCAATCAACGTATATATTCAGTTAGCGGCTATAATAATAATAATAATAATAATAATAATAATAATAATAATAATATTGAAGCTCGGCATGTTAGAGTGGGCCAATATCTGCACTGGAAAATCTGCAACTTTTACGGAAAGGAAACTGCAAGAAATTTATATGAACACCACCCAGACCCGGCTATATAGGACATGTGACATTTTTATGGGACTCTACAATATACATAGAAAGAACAATCAAAGCTAATCGCCCAGACAACGTATTCAAAGACCACAAAAACAAAATTTACTTTATTATTGCTATGGCTGTTTTTGCAGACTGTAATGCATCTTTGAAGAAAAAAAACTATCAACATACAAGAATCTTCAAGTGAAAATGTAAAACATATGGCACATGAAGACATCAATAATTCCAGTTGTGGTTGGAACACCCGGTTTGATTAGTAAAGGTCCTGACAGACTCATTGAAGGAATACTTGGTAGCCCATGCCTTAAAGAAATACAAAAAATGTTTTCCCAAGTGCAGCTTACACTTTACAAAGCGCTTTATCTCTGTAAAATGTGTATGATCTGACGTTGTTTTATTTCGATTTTTTACAAAAATGTTAAGTTAAAAATGGCATGATGCCACTTCTGACCTTAGGTCTCTGGTTGGGATCCGGAAAGGAATGGGTATACTACAGAAATCAAAGGAAATAATAATAATAATAATAATAATAATAATAATAATAATAAGAAGAAGAAGAAGAAGAAGAAGAAGAAGAAGAAGAACAACAACAACAACAACAACAACAACAAATAGAATAGCGGAAGACAGCCAAGACGACTTGGGAGTCAACGTCTCAATGGACGATGTTACTCTAACTGAAACTATATCTAACAATGCTCCAGCTGTAAGTTTGTGCTCTGCCTATCATCCTATTACACATATATTGCTGTGATTGTCTCCGGTATACCCTCATTAGATTCGGTGTCATGATGCGTACATTGGGCCTTGTGTATCTGTACACCAGCGTTACTTTGTTGGTGTGCTGCTCTCTCCTTCAGTAACAACAATTATTATTATTATTATTATTATTATTATTATTATTATTATTTCGTATATCGGCTAAGCTTAGAAAACACCGACTGCACTCCTGCAGAAGGATATGACTCCACTTCAAAAGAGTGGATACTTCTAGACTCCGTTAATTTGAACCATTTTTTCTACCTTTTTGACACGAGTGTAAACTGGACCAATGTCTATCATTTTGAAACTAGTGTAAACTGAACTTATGTTTACATTTTTACTCTAGTGTAAACTGAACCTATGTCTACCTTTCTGAATCTAGTGTAAACTGGACCTAAGTCTACCTTTCTGACATGAGTGTAAACTGGACTTATTGTTATCTAGTAATTCACTATGATTATAGTTCGATAAAACTTATATTCAACATTAATTATCCTAACACTGCTTAACATAGTGTTTAATTAACCAAACTAACTTAAACTATTATTATTATTATTATTATTATTATTATTATTATTATTATTTTTATTTTCTTTGATTTCTGGCGTTTACATATTTCTTTCCGGGTCCCGCCCAGGGACCTAAGGTTAGAAATGGCGTCATGACACTTTCCACTGACAAAAAAAAAAAAAAAAAATGATAAAGATTACATAGATAAAGCCCTTCGTAAGGTGTGGGCTGTACTTGTTAGAACAATTTTCTGTATCTCCTTGAGGCATGGACTTCCAGGTATCCCTTCAATTAGTCTACTGGAATCTTTTCCAACCAGTCCTAGGGCTCCAACTACAACAGGGATTGTTGATGTTCCCATATGCCACATTTTCGCGATTTCTATTTCAAGGTCCTTGTACTTTGACAACTTTTTGAATATCTTCAAAGATACATTGCATTATTATTATTATTATTATTATTATTATTATTATTCGCGCGATTCATCTAAAACTGGCATTATCTATAACTATGAGAAATGTCATTAAGATATCCTACATTGTTGTTCAATTGTTTAAATCTCTTCTTTGCATGCTTGATATTGTTATGGTAACGCGTTAGTAGATCCGTTTTTCAGAACATTGTGATGTTTAAACAGTGAAAATAAAAGACGTCTTTTACTTTTTCTGGAATAAAAATATTTCTTTTCTTTTTTTTCTCATGATTTTCATGACAGGTGGCGAAGAATGGCTTGGCCGAAATGTTTTGATCACAGAGACAAATATACAAAGTAGAAGCATGCATAATACATAATGCTGTATATAGATCCCAAAATTGAGTTAAATGTCTGTAAGTGTAATTTGTTTTGCTTACGGCCATATCGTGTTGAAATACCGCTTCCCGTTCGATCACTGTGGTAAAGCAACGTCGAGTTTGTTCAGTACCTAGATGGGTAACAGCTTCAGAATTCCAGGTGTTGTAAGCTTGGATGCGCGAGTTGTGTAATAGATAACGTCTCGGAATGAGAAATTGAAGCGCAATGATTGAATACCTGTCGATTTCGTTACATTCACTTACGCGCAAATATCATTGGTAAAGATATGAATCCGTCTCTTCTCACTGCAGCTATGGGTTAAATAGCAGGACAGACTGAGTCCTATAGCTTTGATTGGCAACCGGTCTACTGCAACAGGTAATCGGATTATATTGCGGGAATTCTTCTGCAAAGTCAATTATGGATCGAAAAGAGATATGATCGCTCAAGTGAGCGTGCATTACGCATGACAACTAAGGAATGCTTAATAGAAAGCGTGAGTTGTGTATCGATTCGGCGATCGGAATCGACGAGCCGGATTTAAATTCCAGACTCGTCTACTGCATTTAGTTTCGCACAAATAACCTTGGAAAGGGCATGAATCGTCTCCCTCTATACTCCAGATATGGTAGAATAGGCTCTTTCGCTTTGGGGAAGAACCAATCTAAGAAAAGGGCGACTCTGTACACCGAAACATCCAGAGGATACCAGGAAATCGTTGTCTTTCACGAAAATGAATGGCATTGAGCAGATAATAGGGGAGAGATATAGTTGCCTTCTTCCAAAAAGAATATAGCATTAAAAATCTATGATAATCACGGAAGAAATTTATTTTTCTGCTCATATACTGAATCAGATAATATTTATAATTGTCTTAGCAGGTATCGTTGCTTATTTAAGGAAGAAATGATCTTTCATCAGGTGTTTCGTTTTGAAGCCACCAGACATAAGTATTCTCTATTTGTTAGCAGTTAATTAGTCTGAGGTAGAAATTCACAGGCCCAAGACGAATACAACAAATGCCGCTTACAGTTTACATGACATCGTTAATAATAATCAGTGATGTTGAGCTTTAAATTGAAAACATAGCGTCCGGTGTAACCAGATTTTTTTTAATTTTTTTAATATTACGATGAACGACAAAATCACTGCGTGTACTGTTTTGTAAAAGGATTTCCGGTAGTTTTCTATAATCGTATTTAAATTCGTAGCGGTTCCACTTAAGCATTTCTTAGCACATTCATTTCAGTCTATTTTGTAAATTTAAATCCAAAGTCTGAACATCCCTGTATCTCTAATGTTTTCGATGCAAAACGTTGTGAGCGACATTTGTTGTATTCGTACCAGATATCATATATATATATATATATATATATATATATATATATATATATATATATATATATATATATATATATATATATATATATATATATATATATATATATATATATATATATATATATATAATGCCATATAAAAAGTTTTGTCACTTAGGTGATTGATGTTACCTTCAACATCCCGAACTCAGAGTTTTGTAAATGGACATATCGTGAATCATTCCGTCCCTTCGACAGGGGTATCAGCAATTGACTGTTTAGAATTCTCGATTTTTCTTCTTTTTTTTTTATAGGCACTTTTCATTGGTGGAAGTGTTTTTCCTATAGTGTAAGTGAGCGCGTGTGTGTGCGTTCATGCGCCAATGCGCCCGTCTGCGCGTACGTGTAGAATTTTGTTGTTATTTGTTCTTTTCGTCGTTTTTTTTTTCACTTTAAGCTCACTCTTTATTGTTTCGTTTTTTGGGGGTTTTTTTTAACCTTTTCTCCACTTTTTTCTTTTTCCTCCTTTCTTTCGTATGTAACTATTTTGACTTCTGATATATACTTCAATTTAATCATTATTGATCTGAAAAAAGGCCATTTTCGAAACGAAACTTTTTACGTAGTCCCTCAGTTTATTCCTTTAAGCCTCTACATTATACACACACACATATATATATATGAAATAACGATATATATATATATATATATATATATATATATATAAATAAAGATATATATATATATATATATATATATATATATATATATAATAACGATATATATATATATATATATAAAATAACGATATATATATATATATATATATATATATATATATATATATATATATATATATATATATATATATATATATATATATATATATATATATATATATATATATATATATATATAGAAATAACTATATATTTTTTTATATATCAAGAACAGTATTGAGGAAATAGTATGGCAAAATGGAAAAAAAGTTTACATGTGACGCGCTTCTGGACTTCATCGGGCTAAATTTGTTATTTTGGTACGACTACACATGCGCACGACAGAGGCGTGCTGGGAATTTTTCATCTAGAATCTTTTTCCTTTTCTTTCCATAAATTTTTAAGTTAGTATTCTACACTGATATTAGAAGATCTGCCATGAATGGTGACATTTTTTAAGAGCCAGGGTGCAATTTTACTTGTGATCAAGGTACTCTCGAGACATTTATGTCGCGATGTATTATTTTCTCCTTTGATCACAGTAGCATTTTTTTATGTCAGTGTTGTGGTCAGTCTCTTTAGGGTGACAACCAAAGCATTATTCTGTAAAATCCCCCTTTTGTGTTCATATAATCTTTTATTTAGATGTGTTATATTGATGATGCTCTACTTATATATCCTCGTAATACCAATTTACCTGACCGTGTAGATCAACAAAGCAAAGTCGAACACAATGAAATACGAAATGGAAGGACACAATTCCTTACCCTTCCTAGATATCAAGCTACACCGCTTTAACAACAGTTTAAAACTCGGTGTCCACCGGAAATCAACCAACAAAAACGACCTAATAAATTTCTATTCCCATCATAACAACAAAATAAAATCCAGCATAATCATCAGATTCTATCAAAGAGCTCTAAGAATATGCAGCTCGGATTATTTACATGAAGAGGAGAAATACATTGAAAACAGCTTCAAACTTTTTCAGTACCCAAATTATTTTATATTCAATGTGAAACAAAAGGCCCATAAACTATTAAAAAAAAACGGCCCTTTTCAAAAAAAAAATATGATCCTACCTACTAATTATATCACATCTACAGTCGAAAAGAATCTGTCTAAATTCAACATAACAGTTGTGACTACTACATCCAAAACAATAAAAGAATTTGTCAATACTAAACAAAAGAATAAACTAAAACCTGAAGAAGAAGTTTACTCCAACGCCTGTCACAAAAAATACATCGGAGAAACCTTAAGGAATTTAAATAAAAGATTATATGAACACAAAAGTGACATTTTACAAAATAATACATCAAATGCTTTGCTCACCCACTGTAACAAGATTGACCACAACATTGACATAAAAATGCTATACTGCTCAAAGGAGAAAAAATTCACCACGAGGTGAATGTCTAGGGAGCGCCTTAATCGCAAGGTAATCTGCAGTAAATTTGCACCCTGGCTCTTACAACATTTCACCATTCATGGCAGATCTTCTAATATCACAGTAATGGAATACCTACTTACAAAAGTGATGGAAAGAAAAAGAAAAAAACTCTAAATGAATTCGGCTGATAAAAAAAATAAAATGAAATTACCAGCACCCTTCTGTCGTGCGCATGTGCAGTCCTACTAACGTAACAAATTTAGTCCTATGAAGTCCTGAAGGACGAAACGTGTCACAAGTAAACTTTTTCCACTTTGTCATACAATTTCCCTTATATATATATATATATATATATATATATATATATATATATATATATATATATATATATATATATATACGTACATGATATCCTAGGTGATCAGGAGTCTAATGTGGGCGTGTATGTGTGTGTCTGTATCAAACACTTTTCAATATTCATACAAAAAATGACGATAAGCAATTTGTATATCTCCATGTATTGGACCCTGACGACGAAGTAGAAAAAGATTTTCGGCTATTTTAAAGTTGGAAAATAAAATACCCTAATCTATTTATATCTTAAATTCCTTTTAAGCGCCAGATTGTTTTTCATTTGCAGGTAAATATATAACAATTCTGTAATAGTGTTGTACTTCTAAAATCTTAAAAACATAACTGAGACATCACGTGTAAAAGAGGCGTGTTTATGATGATAACATTACGACAAAAGTTCAACTGTCTTCTTTTTTAATTATCAATCTGAGAAAATTAACAAGAAAATGGTTTAAAATGTCTCTGTTTGCAATAAAATTGACATTGTCTTATGCACACACGAGAAGTAAATGGTTCAAGGGGGGAATGCAAAACAACAAAGCTTATATGAAAATTAAATAGATCTAGAAACTTTCATCTGGGTTCAGTGTCTCTCATTATTCCAACTTCTAAAAATACTTGACCACGAAACCAAACAAAAGGTCTATGTTCATCATGCAAAGTCAAGTTACTGGTGAGTCAATAATTGGATTTTATTGGCTTTTATGTCGTTATTAAGTTAAACACGACTATAAAAGATCCGTCAATAAGCGTGGACGAAATCTGGAAAAGACCTGATTCTTAGGCATGCGTCAATACACAAACACAATAGCTCTTTAGTTTATATATATATATATATATATATATATATATATATATATATATATATATATATGGTACAATTGATAAATTGTCTAAATTACACAAAAAATGAAAATAAAAGTGATATCATATTTGAACATATATATTTATCAAAATTATACAAAATTTCCTAAAAATACTAAAGAGTAAATTTATCCAATAAAATCGCCATTATCTTCAACCACGGCCATAGACGACTTCGGAATCTCCTGCAACACTTCTAGACGGTCTCTTTGTTTAAGTTGGTGAATCTGCCATAATCCTTGCCTTCAGTTCATCTTTGGTGTTCGTCTCTCGCTCAACTGCGCCCCACATAATAATCAAGGGGATTGCAGTCTGAGGAGTTAGGTGACCAGATATAAGGGGTGATGTTGTTGCAGAACTTCTCTGACAGCTATGAAAGTTTTTTTTTCCTGCTTATGTGACATGGTACAGAGTCCTGTTGGCAGACATAGAATCTTCCAGCAGCCACCCCCTTGAACTAGGACGGTACTACTTCCTCAGGGCACTTGATGTAGACCTTCGTGTTGAGTCTGAGGACCTG